GGGAGAGCCGATGCATTTCCGCCATTCGCCGCCGGCTGGCCAGGCGCTTGGAATGTCAGGAGCTCAGCTCTCGCCTGCCCTCAGATGCATGCCGTCGCTGGTTGACTGCAAAGAACGGGCTCTATCGCAGCACCTCTCCTGCAATCGCCGCTTATGGCGTGTCGATTTGCGCTGGCCATGTCGATACGTTTCCCGTCTGTGTTGGTGCTGCTCGCGCGCCGACGGTCGCTTGTCGGGGCTCGCCCGAACGGCGGGACGACGCCGCTTCCCCTCGTTCGAGTGGCGCCGCCGACGGTCGCTTGTCGGGGCTCACCCGAAAGGCGGGACGACGACGCTTCCTCTCGTTCGAGTGGCGCGGCGCCGGTGTTGGCCGTCGGCGCCAGATGTTTGCCTCACGGTAGCCGATCGATCTCGTCGAAAGATCCTGTTCGCGGCGTCCCCGGGTGCGGCTGAGCGGCTGTTACGCGCCGTGAGCGCGCGCCGAGACCCCAGCCGTCAGCCGTGCTGCTGGCCTGGCGCGCCGCGGCACCATTGGACCGCTGGCAGCTGCGTCCGGGCGGGCGGGCCGGCGGCCGCCGGCGCCAGGGCCGGGCCGGGGAGCAGGCTGCCGGAGCCGGCGCGATGGCGGCCGGCCCCGCTCTCCGGCCAGTTTGCGACGTCACCGCTCCCGGCGACCGAGAGGCCGAGGGGTGGCCGGCCCGGCACGGCCGCCGACCGCCGGCGCCGGCAGCGGCGATCGAACGACCGGGCCCGGGTTATGTGCAACTAATGCGTCGGCCGGCCGGGGGCCGTAAATCTCCGGCCCGGTGAGTCACGAGTCGGCCGGCCGGGCCCGCTCGGGCCCGCCGGTCTGTCCCTCCCCCCTCCGGCCGCCCGCAGAGTGCGCTGAGGACGGTGACTCGGCCCGCACGGTGGCGCCCGTCGCGCTCTCTCCCCTCTCCCCGAGCTGGTGCCGGCGCTGCGCACCGCCCCGTCGCCGGCCGAACTCGATAGCTGGCGGAACGGCAGACGGAGCCGGTGCACCTTGCTCGTCGGGCCCGCTGCCGTGCCGGCCGGGACCTGACGCCGCCTGTGTCACGCTGATTCTCATGTGCAGGCTGAGGGGTGTCAGCCGGCGGAAGCTGGTGACACCTTCCGTGTTACATTACGCTTTCGCTTGGATTGACGACGTAGCGGATTGGGAAAATTGAGCCTCTCCCACTGTTTGTTGCTGTGATTTGAGGCGAGCGCATGGTTTGCTGGTACTCGTCTGCCATTCCCGTTTTCCTTTCGGGTGATATATCGTGTTGATCCGGCTAATTTGCATTCAGCAAACACCGCCATTCGTTGTCATTGATGCTGCTGTCGACGCCGTGTTTTGATGCATTTTCATTTTGATCAATCTAATTGCTGACATCCCTTGTTGCAGGCAAAGAGATTAGGTAATCATGGAGAAGGACTCCAAGGGGAGTTCTGACAAGAAACGTTCCAAGGAGCAGAGCTCCGGGTCGGCTGCCGGGCTGGACCCGAGCGTCTTCGGTGAGTAGTACGAGCAGAGTGGCCCTGGCCGTGACCTACATCTTACCCGGTCCAGGAAGGGAAAGTCAACATTATTGATTATATGTGAAGTCCGTAACGTTTACAGTGTCAGGCTGTGGTGAAAGCAAAACAACTTTCGATTTTCAAATTGATCTTCCAAAGCCATAATGCAGTAAAAGTGCAATCATGTGTTCGGGAGACTGAATGACATTCATGCATGCACAATGTGTCATCGATATTCAGTAGATACATATGTCGAATATGTCTTAATCTGGCAATGCCCAGCTGTCCCGCTGGTGTTGCGTCTTTATGGCCGCGTACGTAGTATGCCCTATAGTGCATTGGAGCTTGTCTACCTGATTGTTTTGTGCAATTTGAACGTTGTTATTATGAAATTAGAACGTTGACAGCAGTTGCGGGAGGGCTCGGCTCGGTAAATCGGTGACCCGTCGCCGTCTACACCGATGAACTAGACTTAAGCTGTCCACCACCCTCGCGACCCGAGCCTTATGCGAGGGGGCTTGTGTTCGAACATTGTTTATGCTTGAGCCGGCCCCTGGCTAAGCCGTGTCGACTGATTTACGCGCTGTTTAAATGGTCCGTATCCTGATCAAGAACATGACGCATCGCCCGGCGCAACGAGCCCTGCTTTCCTTGGCCGCGCCCAGTGCCAGTGTGTTAATTCAGCGTAGCGTCTTGCGCGTCACAGACGGGGGGATGGGCGCAATATCACGCACGTCATCGGGGCGCTCTGATGCTGCCGGGCCCGGGTCTGGTCTGCGAACCCGCCTCAAGCTGCCGATACTGGGCAGTGGTCATTCAAGTGAACCGAACTCACTTGCCGTGGGGATGGCTGTGTCGGGGATTAACGACTCCCGTCGCTGCACTTGCCGATTCTTGCACTTAGCCTCGACGTCGGGCGTAAGCAGTGGTGGCGCCTGGTGTTTCAAGCGGCACAAGGTCTGCTCCATCGGTCCTGCCTGTGCTGTCGTCGCCCGGTGTGCCGACCGGGGCCGGGTTGCGCCGCTGTTCTGCCCCACTCCGCTCCGCTGTGGTGTACCGGTCGTCTTGCCCCGCTCCGCTGTGGTGTACCGGCCGTCTTGCCCCGCTCCGCTGAGGTGTACCGGCCGTCTTGCCCCGCTCCGCTGTGGTGTACCGGCCGTCCTGCCTCGCCCCGCTGTGGTGTACCGGCCGTCCTGCCTCGCCCCGTGTGGTGTACCGGCCGTCCTGCCTCGCCCCGCTGTGGTGTACCGACCGTCCTGCCTCGCCTGGCTGTGATGTGGTGTACCGGCCGCCGATTTCGGCCTGGCCTTTCCGCCCCGGAGGCGGTGTGTTTATGCCTGGCGAGACGCGCCGGGCCCGAGGTGTCGGACCCACGCTGTCCCTAAGCCCGAGCCCCGGCCGGAAGTGACACCAGCTGGGTGGTGACCGTTCGCAGTCTGTGTTGCGCTGCTGGCTGCCGGCGCCGGCCAGTCCTTGCTCTGGTGACGCGCTGACTGTCTGGCACACTGGCGTATGTGTTTATGATGCGTATGGCAGAGACTGTTGGGCGTTTGTTTGGGTTGGTGGGAGCGAGGGCATTTCGTCTCGGGCCTGAATAGTTTTGAACATTAAGGTCTTTGGGTAGAACATTCCCAGCATCACATGATAGGTTTTCGGTGGAAAGAGCCATGAAATTTCACGGCTAATAATACCTCGATGGTTGTTTATAGATCCGCTTTGATTACTGGCGATTTTCATGCCTTACCACTGAACTATCATGGTTAAGATGCGTCAATAAGCATACTTAGAGGGTTAAAAAGTCGTCACTGGTTAGATGTTTGCAGAGCGTCAAACTGCTCGTAAGTTGTTTCTCCTCATGCAAAGCTGATAGTAGTGACATTAAATTTTGCAAGGTTCTGGGAAGTTCTTCGTTTCATATCGCGTGTGATGGGGCCCGTACGTGCATGCTGAACACCCACGCTGAGCTGCTGGACCGTCATGATCAGATCACGTTGAGCTCCTCCGAGCAAGATAAACACCTGTTTGGATGCTGGGCGAGAAACAACAATTGGATAAGCATGACAAGAATCGATGCCATCTGGTTTCCTTCTTGGTATCTTGCCCAATATACGCCATTCTGTGTCATTTGACGGGTCATAAAGCGCGAATCGGCCATATCGTTGTTCAGAATTCTGGCTAATTACACCATTTCCTGGCTTCTAATGCAGTTTCTCGACGAAAAGGAATGTCGAAACATCCGGCGATAAATCGCCCCCATGAGCTGTTACATCAGATGTACGTGAGCACGATACAGTGCCACCATTTGCTCAACGGACACATGCACGCAAGAGCACGTGACCAAAAAATGTGCTTCCCTCCAATATGAACTACTGTTAGCATAGCTGCTTGGGTGTGTCCGTGACACGTGGTCCAAAGCCGGACTCAAGCACCGTCCCTCCACCCGTCC